TACGCGGGTAGAAAGAATTCCAGTGCATGACTTTTTGAAGGTTCAAGTACAGTCTGAACACTTTAAAGGTAATTCGCAGAAATCCTTTTAATGTCTTGTACGAGCCTAGATTTAGCCTGAGGTCCTTTACAGACGCAAAGAGTGATAGAGAGGGCTTTGAGTTGTCAAAGGTTTTCAAGGCTGTGGGGTGATTTGCTTGAGGAATTCAGGCCTACACTCAGTATTATCCACCAAAATCTCTTCTTCCTATATATTTTTTATACCCCTTAATACGTTTTTTACCCCAGTGGCCTTATCTGACATTGCTTATTGATTTTATGTTTTGAAACATGTGTTGCTCGCAATGTTTTCTAACATCACTAACCCCTGTAATCCCTGCTTTAGGTCGTGCTCTCGCTCAAAGAAAATCCAAAAGCTGACACTTCAGAGCAATATTACCGAGTATTAATATGACCTGCTGTCAAATATTTATGTAGAAGCCAGGTTCAAATGCATATTTCCATAATGTACTCCTCATTTTCCAGCTTATAAAAGCTTTAGTTCAGCTTCCCTGCTCTCATGTTCTGCTTATTAACCTTATAACCTTATTATGATTATGATGTCACTCCTAGTTTACTTTACTGACCTTTCTACGACGACCCTTTGTCCTTTATTGCCTTTAATTGAAAGGAACTTTGTAACCTCGTTTTGGGATTTTAAATAGGGTCATTATTTATTATTACTACACTTTGCAGTGTGCCATCTATTATGTGGAAGGCAAATTGTATTCCACTGTCACACGTACAATGCTTTACAGCGTTCATGAGCCAAGAAAGCAGCGATTGTTTGTGACAGACAGATGAAGAAAACAGAGAGGCAGGCAGGCAGGCATGAACAGAGACGCTGACACAGAGACAGATCAATGCAAAGAGAAAGACAAACATCAACGCGTTCGAGCAGACGGGGATAAAAATGTTAAGAGGGAGGACACGACACAGTGAAGAGATTGATGGAAGAGCGGAGAGGGGAGAGTGACAGATGTGCGCTGGGTGCCATTCATCATCAAGTGTTTAAGTGGTTTAGGGTGGTTACGTACGAGGACATAACTCAGATCAGTCAGACTCGTGAGAGAGGACTTGGGCACACACTGGTTTCAGACGTCTATACAAAAAAAAGATTGTCATGTATTAAAGGGGCCCTATTATGCTTTTCCTTAGGTGTGTTATATAGGTTTCTGTGCATGTAAATGGTCTGGAAAAGCAAAAATCCCAAAGCTCCCTCCCACAGATTCCCCCCCTGCCTGAAACGCCTCCATTGGACTCATTTACATCAATAACACAGTGATATTGCGCTTTCTTGGCGAGCGTTCGAACACATTGTAATTGATTGGCTAAGGGGCGGGTCATGTCTAAGCGCTTGACCAATCACAAGGTCTAAGGACAGAGGGTGTCGTATTCCTGCTCTGTATACACTGTAAAGCCCCCTCAGACAAATGTACATTTTTGATATTTGGCAATATAAAGAAACTTTGATTGATTGAATGGTTGACCAATCGGAGCAGATTTGGCTCTGGTTTCAGACAGAGGGTGAAAAGAGGCACAGGCAGTATGAGAACAAATAAAGCGCTTTTTGAACATTAAAGCATGGAGAGATGTCCCAGTAGAGACAGTAAATACTCAAATAAACCTGAAAATGAGCAGAATATGTCTCTTTAAAAGTTATGTTCTGTGTAGAAACTGCTCCTCATTGGCCAGTTGTGCACCAGCTCAGGTCAACATGATCTGCTCTTGGCTACGCCTCTGCTCAGGTGTCCCCGATCTCACCTAATCACTGCAAGGAAGGCAGGAGGAGAAGTTTTGGACACTCTGCTGCATACTGTGTTAGAAAGTATTTTATCCTGTGTATTATTTTGGCTTTCTTTCTGAGTTGAGTTTTGTTTTAGTTTAGGGGGGGAGAGTTCTGCGTCCTAAAGCCCATGGTGTGGCCGGCCCAGGCTTCCTCCATCTTTCTGTTCTTTGTTGCCAGTCCTCCAGACTTGTCCTATTTTAAATTAGTCTTCAATAAAATCATGTGGTTGTTGTAAACTCTATCTTTTAAATATACGCCACGGGTCACAGCATGAGCCCCAAATGTTGTTGCTATGCTGCGGCCGTAGCAGTCAGACACCATTTCAGTTTCCATGCATCTCCTGTCTGATTCTGTCTCGCACCTTTCACTCTCTATCTCTTCCTCATCTCCTCACTCTGGACTTCACTTTATCTTCCTCCATCTGTCAGCCTTTTATCAGTCTGTCCGTGTACGTCTCTGCTTTTCATTCTATCAGGATCAGCGTCTCCTTTTCTCAACTCTTGTTTCCCCGCGAGAGCATCCGCAGCCTTTCCAACACCTCCCTTAATCACATGGCAGTCATACTAATAAATGAAAACCTGAGTCACGTGACATTGACGGAGCGCTGCACACTGCGGTCTGTTTGAATCAGACTCACTGTGCGGAGAATTCATTAATCTCTTCCAGGGAGGGAAGGGGAAATGGGAATCATCCCTTTGTTCCACGCTGTTTTCGGATGCTCCGCAGATAATCTCTCGCGTTAGATGCAGGCACGTGAACATGCGCAGGTGCGTGTACGTGCACACACTGTATGGTTGAGTGGAGAGAAGCTAATATTTCATAAGCTGGGTCACTGCAGGTCAGACCCCTGTGTCCAACATTTTTCTACCCCCTGTTTCTCCTACTCTTCTCGTTCCCTCTCCTCTCTTGTCTCCATATTTCCTATTTTCTCCTGTCTCCCTTCACTCATCAGATTTGTTTTCCTTCTTTCTATTTTCTGCCCTGTCACGGCTCCTTGATCATCTCGGCTTTATACAGTACATTTTTTATATATAGACTTCCTTTATTCCCATTGCTTTAACGTCCCTGCTGAGGGACTGTATCTGCTTGAATTGCTCATTTCCATATGCACACCCTGCACAGGTGAGGAGGCCACTTCTCTCCTTATTTGTCTTTGTCTCTGTAATCTATTTTAAGTACTAGAACCATCCATCTGAGCAGGTGAAGCAGATGTGAGTTCATATCATCTTTATTCAAATGTACTTAACCAGTTTCTTTGAATTTCACATCTATAAGTATCTTTAAATAGTGTATACACAGCTAATAACCATTTGCTTTAATAAGATACTGGAGTTCTGTATGCCAGAGCAGATAATTAACTCACCCCCCCTCTGTGTACTTTAATCCAAGAGTATATGTGTTTTTTACATGCATGTAATCCCAGTGTGTGCCGGTCTACGCTCAAACAGTGTTTCCTACAGGTGTTAGCATTGTTAGCTCTTAGCCTCCGAGTTCAGCCATCTCCATGTTGAGAGGCTCATCGATTTGCTTGACTGCATTTCATTGGTTGGATGAATATTATTACCTATGCTATGAGGTAATGGCTATCGGCTCAGTTTGTCTGATTACAGAAAACTACAGGCAAGTTTCACGAAATCTGACTTAAAGGTGCCGGATGAAGAAAACACATTACGTTTCTCTTTTGTATTTTTGTCACATTGCGAGAGATACGGCATTATTGCTGCATTTATGTGTTATATGAATAAAAGCAAACATAATAATAATAATAATGCATTACATTTTTTATTAGAGCGCTTTTACAGGTTCTCAAAGCGCTTTACAAATACACATATCAGACATGTAAGAGTCATTACTGTGGACATTACCCACAGAAGCAAATGCGGGTAAAGTGTCTTGCCCAAGGACACAACGGCCTGACGCAGTGGCGGCCGAGGCGGGATTCGAACTGGAGTTCACCAACGCTCTAACCACTGCGCCAAAACCGCCCCAACATGTGCTCCTAACCTGGACAATTCATTAACGCCACCTTGTGTAAATCCACTTCTTGTTTAAACTCTATGAACTTTAACACATCTTATTTGTAGCGTCCATTGTTTCCACATTACCACTTAAAGCTCATGAATAGCCCAATATCTAAAGAACATCATGGTCCCATCCTCAGCAGCAGCCAAATGCACTGTTTGGCCTTGATGGAAGTCTGCATGTCTACCACTGCCTTTTCAGTTTGTATTAAATCATATTCTGAATAAGCCAACCATCCACTCCTGTATAAATACAAGACACGCTGTTTTCTTGATTTCCTGTTCCATCCGATAGAAATAGTCTAGACATCGTAAACACATTTTATTCTTCCTGACATATTTTGGTATCTTGCCAAACTTTGGGATCTCCACTAGAATTTTAATAAGGAAACTTTTTGTGTTGCCCGGACCAACAACTTAAGATGGCTCTGGCTTCTTCTCAAGATTGAAAATTGTAAAAAAAGAACTGTCCCATAGCACCGCTAGAGATTAAAAAAAAACTCAATGTTTAATTGATATATAAGATGCTAATTTTCTATCATTGATCTTAAAAGTTGATCAATAAATGATGTCCGCACTACATATTTTACACCTCACTAACTGCAGCTGTTTTTGAGTCTCGCCCAAAGGCCTGAATCCAAAATGCCTGAAATGTCCCCTCTTTTAATTTTCATGTCTTCTCTTGTCCTCCTGCCTGTCTTTTGTCTTTTGTGCTGTCTTGTGTACCCTTGCCTCCCTCTCTATTTCTGCTGTCCACAGGGATTTTAGAATATTATAAAAACAGTCCCTCCGGTGGCGTTTTAAATTGTGCTGCCTTTTATCTCACTTTGCCAGTTGCTTGTCACCATGTGTGAAGTAGCTCCTATATAAGCAATACAGTACATTTAGATGAGAAAATGTCTCATACTCTTTTTTTAATCCCCTGTGCAACACAGATCTTAAATACCTGGAGGACAAAACAGACAGTAGCTGAGATTTGTTTCTCTTCATGTTTACTTATTCATTTATTTGAAGTCTGCTCTTGTGGGAAATGTATTTTATTACTAGACCTTAATGACAGTGACTGGAGATTTGTCTACATGTGCAGTAAAGTAAAAGCTTAATATACATGCAGTGTGACTCGTCATGTTCTTGTCTCTCTCTGTCTCTCAGCTGTCAGAAGCACGGGACGAGACACTTGAAGGTCTGAATCGAACGATTGGTTACAAAGTGCTGAAAGGAAACGACCCAACGGCTGTAGAACTGATCAAGAAGATTGAACAGGTACACACAATCATCACAATGTGTTTATGTGTGTGTGTTTGTGCACACATTGCATATACGCATGTATTTGAAACCCACCCTATGCATGGTATGGTATACAAATATCAAGATGACCTGTTATATAGGTACTACTTACATAAACTCAAATGTTTCCCAGAGAAAGACTTTCAATCAATATTATGGTACGTTTTATTTGGTCGCCTATAACTTATTGTTATATTCCATTTCCACATTCGTCATTGTATCCTTTTTTACGGTAATTGTTCATTGAATATTTTAACCGGTTGAAGGATTTTAATGATCTGACATCTGGATCCGAAATATCAGAGAAACAAGCTGAGCAAACGTAAGCTCGTATCCCGTCTCTCAGGACAGATGTTTGTTTCCAAACTGTTTTGTTCCATGATTTGACTGATTTTACCCACTGGATCTGTTTGTTTTAAAGAGGATAAGAAGCCTGCCTATAATTTCGACTCCAGGTTAAAACCTCCTGAACATCGAAGCTATCTTAATCTTGAGAAACTGACTGCATGGTCCCAAGATACTTCAAATCTGTGTCATTTGTCAAAAAGGCCTATTAAGCTTTGGGTTTCCCCTTCCCTGTAGTTTCTCGTTTTTGTGCATGTAAATGGTCTGCAAAGGGTAAAATCCCAAAGTTCCCTCCAGAGGGAGTTTCTCTCCCACTGGCTGAAACACCTCCCCCCACCCATTGGACTCCTTTCTTTACTTCCTTGACTTCGTGACATGATCACTATGTAACACGTGCGCTCCTATTGGCTAGCGCTCCAACACATTGTAGGTTATTGGCAGTTGCGGCTCCAGAGTATTTTTGTTGGGTAATCTATGGTAGGGCTAACCCATACAGTGGTGGGGCTCAAGTCAGTATTTGCAATGTAATTACATACACGCTATATCGCCCCCCTTGACAGTGAAACGCCACGCGTGAGGTTTAGATTATTTCCCTGTCTCAATCAGAATGGAACTGTATGAAATAAAACGGCACATTTGTGTTGTAGTAAATAAAAAGGGATCACTGTGAACGTGACGTATGATAGCACACGTTGAAGATCCAATGGGGATACTGAATGGCGGTTCCGATTGATCTTGATCAGTAATGCATGACGCAGACCCAACGTTTCGTTGCTCTGATTGGCTGTAAGTCTATTCAAATTGCATTCGGAGGCATTTTGATCTGACCGCGGCCGCGATGATATTATAACGCCAGAGAATTTCCACACCTTTAGTGTATAAGACTCCCCCACTACTTAGACTCTTCCTTGCACCCCTCTTCTAGCATAAGCCCGAATGGTCTGAACCACATTGCATCAGTAACGTGCACTTGTTGTTACAGCAGGATCAGTTTGTTTGTTGTGGACACGACCCGTATATTTTCGCAAGCCGTGTTCTCAACATTTTGCTTATTATTTAATTGAATTTGCTACTTTATCATGGTCGAGCTAAGGTGGGGCTAGGAGCCATTTCCGTTGGTATGGCTGTACCCTACCCACCATAGCCCTTGGGGCCGACACTGCGGACAGGTGGTGCAGCCAGAGGTCAGAGTCATCCAACAGGGTCATCCACAAAAAAGTACATTTGAAGAGTGTCGTGTGGGAGATTTACATGTAGAACTCATCGTATTTATATGTCCCCACACCAATTACTACTTTATTAGCTAAGAGCATGAAACGCATAATAAGTTACCTCAATGAAGCCTCGCTCCAGACGTTAGCAGCTAACAGCTATCGTTAGCAGCCTACAGTAGCAGCTAGCAGCTAACGTCCAGCTAGCTCTCCTGTAGTTCGTAGTGTGAGCGCTAGGTGCAAACGGCGGCCCGTAGTTGAAGCTTGTAATTAGTGCCTTAAGCCTAGAGGCTGTATTTATCATGCTGATATTGAGAATTAAGTTTAATATTGCCTGAAAGCCAAGACTTTGTTTAGTTTGAAGTCAGATGAAAACAAACTGTCACAGACCCTGCCGTGTTATCTATGATTACTATTAAGCGCTTTTCCATTCATAATGTGAGCCAGGGAAGGGGGAGCGGCGCTGAGAACAAGCAAGTTTGCGACCTGGGTATTAGGGGGCAGGTGCACAGCACCAACCTAGTTCTAGCAGATAATAATAATTACAACAAAGATGCAAAAAGTATCGTGTTAATCCATCTGATTCGTGCTCATTGCTGTTTTAGTCCTGTGTTGCTTCTAATTAGTGTTGTGCTAGTGTTGTTGCCTATTGAGGCTGCTTTATGAGCCATGTTGGTGAACATAAACCTTCCATCATTACCCCTCCTCCCTTGCCTCTGTGGTGTTTGTTGTTGAACGGGTTGTTCTGTGTAGAAACTACAACTGCTGCATTTGGCGACATTAGATGTTTTCCTAATTTTCATGTGTGTTGGCAAAAATAATAATGCCCATCGGTGGTCTAGAGGGCTGCCATCACCCACCCAGTATTCATCTTCATTCATTCAGAGCTGATTTGGCTGTAAGTATCGGGTGGCCTGCTATATAGTGTGTGATAGAGGAGACTATGGAGGACGCGTCCTAAATATCTCAGAAGTAACTATCGTCGTGGTGCGCGTCGGCTCAAATAGCAATGAAGATTTCTTTCTCATATGGAAGAAAATAGCCCCAATATTATTATAGACTGTGTGAAACGTACCTGTTAGTAAATGCAACGTTTTGTTCAGCCGGGTAATATCCACATGTCCCTAAACATGTTTTGTTTGGTGTGGTTCCTACCTTTTATAATTTTCAAGTCATAAATCCTATCGATTAGATTATGATAGACTTTTGAAACTAACAAGAAGAATAAGGAGGACTTTTACAAACAAGTAATAGAGATTTTTTGTCCAGATAGGATAGCATGGACTTCCATCTTCAAGTCAAGGTAAGACTGCAATTTATTGAAAATGGGGATTCCTTACTAAGCTTTCGCCCGTTGTTTTTTTGATTTACGTCATCACCAACAACAGCGTTAATGGTTATGGGTGCCATAACTTGATTAGGTGCTATGTGTTAGTTTGTTTGATAGGCTCTGTCTGTGTGACAGGTCTTTATTTTATATACTAAGTTTTTGTTGTGTCCTACTGTCCTTATTGTAGTTTAGGTTTTAAAGCATCATGTGGGCTTGTTCTGAATGCAATCTGTTTGTGTCTTTATGTGTGTATGGCCGATCAGAGTAAAAGAAAATGCACTGACTTTGGTAATTAATGTGCTGTATGCATTCAGAATGTGCTGAATATAATGTTTTATGACCCTCATATTAGTGATTATTGATTATAGAGTAAGTTTGGGTCTCAATAATTTGTGCGTTCCATAATCATGTCTTAGCTGTATACAAGCATTTGGTATAAAAATTGTTATTAGGGATTTAGTATAGGTATAATGTATGTTATGTTAGGTATGTTTTATTTAAGGTTGTTATTTTATTGTATGATATATTTATATTTATTTGCGGTGAGGGAATGGTAAGGAAGCGTGTCATTAAGTCATTGTTTCGGCCTCTTTCCGTGGCCATTCGGTTGTTCGGGGCCAACCGTTTGTCCCTTATTTTCTGGATCGCCCCAATGAAATTTCCGCATTCGTGCATCCCTAGTATATTTTGTTAATAATTTACATACAACCACATGGAATTTGTGTTGTGTGGTTCCAAGTGATATCTGCTGGCCGCCCTGGTGCCAGTGCATATCATTTGATTGTGGCTTCCCCCACACACCATCCCAATGTTTGTCCATCGCCTTGGCTGCTGTTATCAGATATAAGAATCAGCTTCTCCTGTATCCGGCTCTCAGGTACGCTCTCAGGATGTGACGTCTGGTCTCCCCAAGACTATTTGGTCTCGCAGGTACGGTCTGTTCCCCCCTGCCAAGGGTACGTCTCTTCAGGTACGTCTCTCAGGTACGACACTCCAGGGTACGACTCTCAGGTAAGGGTCAGTCAGAGGCAACCCTCAAATAAATATCAGAAACAAAACCCAACATGTGTCCTGCCGAGGAGAAAGATCTTCTTGCTGA